GTCTTACAACAATTTTTTTCCTCCATGAAAACTGGCACAATTCAATTGAGACATTGTTTTTTCTATTGTTTTTCAGTCTTTGAGACATACAGCTGTAACCATGACTGTTAATTATGTTTGAAAAAGATTTTTAAAAATCTGCTATGCACTATACACACCTGCCTTCTGCCTTTAAGAAAATAGAAAAAAACAAAAAAAAACAAGACAAAACCTTGATGCCTCTAGATTAGATGCTGTAGAGATGCTTCTTCGTAGGGTAGTATGCCACACAAAAGTTGCGTGTCAAGATGTGTCTGTTCATGCATAGAGCAAGCGTCTGAACGGTTTTGTGCATATGTGCTTACGTCAGTTTGTATCCAATGAATTGTAGATATTTGTTTTGTATCTTTTAAAAACCTCTTAGAATTTGAATGGTGCAAAAGCACACTGATACATTAGTCTATGCAAGGACAGACAATACGATGGTGTGACATTTTCAAATATACAAATAGCAGGTTTGTTTGTTACTCTTGCATCTATACAGTAAGTATATATATTTTGTATGTAAACCCTTGCATATAGTGACAGGTGTTTTCAATGCCACTTTTGACTGTTTAATTTAAACTATCAAATATACGGTAGGAAAGCCTTAACTTGTGTTCAAATGCAATTTTAGAGAATGTGTGTCATAAGGTTTGGGTTTGATTTAGGTTTAGTGTTTTTTGAGAATCAAGAAAAAAATACAAGCAAACAAACAAAAAAAAATAAAGATGGGGGAGTTCTGGGATGAAGCAGGGTCCCTAGATAAGCACCTATTTTCATTATCTAGAAACCAAAGATCGAACAATGTGTTCCCATTTTACATACAGATGACGACGCAAACACCAGAACTCTATTTTTGATACTTTAAAATGGATGTCATTCCTAAAGTTTGGGTAGCTTGGATGGTTTGTAAAATAAAAGTACAGGTTCAGTTGATGTTTACGGAGCCTTGTATTGTCGTTTCATGTACATTTTGTATTTAACATTTTGAAATTATTCAAAGGGAACACCGTGCGGCATAGGCTCTTCTGAGGTAGTGCATCAATAAAAAGAATAAATGCCCAAATGTCTCTCTTTGTGTCGTGTTCTGGATTATGATATGCATCAAGAATGAAATGTTTAGTGAATGGACTAAAATGTACATCGCTGTACCTTATCCCTGGTTCATATTAGTACCTTGAAGTTACATACTGTAATAGTTCTTTAAAAGTATATGTTATTACCTCAAGTGTATATTTTAATATATTTTGAAAGGGGACTGACCCAGTGACAGTTTTGTACCTTTTTAAAAAAAAAAAACAATCACAGCATGATACTGATCGCTGTTGGGAAAGATTTTTCTATAATGACTATTATTCCAGGGATGATTAAATTATGAATTATTGACTTGATTTAACATTATAAAGGAACAATTCTAGTTTAGTGACTGCCAAATCAAGTATTACAGGTCTTTCTGGGTAAAAAGTAATACTTCATAGAACATGAATAACTAGGGGTGGGCAATATGATCAAAATGATGATACGAGTAATTTTATTTCACAGTAACAATATATATAACAAAATAGTTATTTTTGCTTTAAATAAGGTCTTTATTATATCAATTTTTGATACCATAGAAATGTCATAATTGTCACCAGCGTGACAACTAAAAAAAATCGGTCCGCTGGTTAGTCAGGTTTTGCCGCCCCATAGCGCAAAGTCACATGACTTTTTTAATGCGCTTGGAGGAATTTATTTGCAAAATGCATTTCCATCTCCCATTATTTCACCCGGGGGAAAACAAAAAAAAAAAAAAAAAAAAACTAAAGCTCACTTAAGACAAGTAACCAGTCAGCAATTAAATAAGAAACTAATTACAAGCAACCGTACAAAACACTAAAGTAACTCGCTAAGAAATGCTACACACATTGTATAATCAAATGTATAATTACATATTCCTCACGGTGTAAATTAAATATATATTTTTTTCTTATTAAAGTTACAAACGTGATTTAATCAAGAGCAGTGAGAGACTTCCTCTCCTTTGCTGTCTGATTAACATGAATGACAGACAGCAGGAATATTAGACTGCTGTAACTTTAAGAGCTGCCCGGATCCAATATACTGTTACACGCGTTTTCTTTTTTAGCTGTTTGCCTTCACTTATGGCCAAAATTAATGTGATTACGAGGCTACTTTTTTAAAGTAATTTTAAATACAAGTGTGTGTATATTTAACCGTTCAAGACCTATAAAGCGACAAAAATAACTGTTCAATACTCCGGTGCTCTATAAGCAGGGTCTTCACGTGTGCGTCCCTCTATGACAGCACTCTGAAACAGTCTCTCAGACAGCACGCGCATTTAGCTAAACGAGTTCTCTTTCACTGCCGATTGCATTGAAATGGCTTAAAATCACTTTTTTTTTTTTACTTAATCACTTGCTCTTTGTGACCACAGCGACGTCACGTGAGCATGTGACCTTGATCGAGACGATAGTCCAAAATCTCCACCGGTTGACAAATTTTTAACGTTTCCGGTTAGTCGTGCCTACAAGTATATCGCCCACGCCTATGAATAACATTTCATAAACATTACAGTTGGATCAAGTCATCAGTTTTCTCATTTAGCCATTATTCTATAAAAGTTTGACATTTGAGGCCTCCTAAACGGTATGAAACATACTCTACATATTTACTTAATTAGCTGAGGGCACTGACTAGTACAAAGGTTAAGCAAAATTCTGAAAAACAACATTTCAGTTCTGCTTCTGGTAATGATGAATTTGAAAGTGAACTGGCCACGTCCCAGAGGATGTTTGAACTGAGAGTTCAGTTTAAAGGTCCCAAGTTTTCAACTTGGTTCGTGTTGTTTGACTTTGGTGTAAGTTAACCCACAATGAAACAATGTGTGTTCATGTTTATAGAGAGAGCGAGAGAGAAGTCCCCATCACTCATTGGAGGTTGAACAAATTGATTTCTCTAAATCAGTGGTTCTCACCCAGGGTCAAATAGGGGGCCTCTAGATGCAGATTTAAAACCAAATAACATTAAAATAACCCAAAACTACCTTTTTAGACATCTCAGAAAACCTGGAAATATTAAGTATTTTAGTCTAATTTTAAAAGTGTCATTTCTAACACTGTAAAACCTGCAAACTAAAATCCACATGCATTATTTAATGAGCAGAAATTATGAAGTGTAAAAAAAAAATCTTTATCCAGTAAATGATGAAAAACAGGGAGAGTCACATAACATTGTTGTGGACAACTGGTTACCTTGGAGTCAAGAAGGTTGAGGACCACTGCTCTAAATTTCCATAACACAAACCTGGTCCAAAAAAGCTCATGTCTACTTTGACGATGTCAGAGAAATATCAATTTATTTGTTGCATCTAAGAGTCACATTTTATACACACAAACATTTCATACATTTTAGGGAAAAAAGGCCCCTTCTTTCACTAGAGAGGTGTGACATTTTGTTCAGCCTTGTATTGCACTCCAGGTAATGTAGTCATGGGGGGGGGGAAATGAAGCTCATGATTCAAGCAGCCTGGTAGCAGTAGAAAAGAACATGCGTAGACCGCATTTCCAAAACATTGTAAAGTCCAAAACAAGGTAAGACCTCGGCACAGTTCAGACTGCACATTCTCACAGGACTCTGGGGGCAACAGAATACACACCTCTATCGATGCAGTTCATATAAACAAGCATTAATGAATGTAGATCACACAAACAACTCATCTTTTACTTTAAATAAAAAATGTCACTTTTCAAATGGACTAAACTAAAAATCAGTTCATGCAAGTCTATGGAGTACATACTTGGTCAGATCTCTATTAAATAAGGAATAAGTCTGAAGGCTGTAAGTCCAAACAGTGCAGAGGTACAATGGGAAAAACCATTATGCCCTTTTTTAATCCTATGTGCAGCATAACAGTCTTAAAGAATATATTTGGCTTCTTACAATCTCACTATTTCAAAATATTCCTTTATCCAGAACGGCAAGTATTGCATTGCACTTTGGTTCCCTAGTGTAACGCCTAACTGGACTGCCCAGCTGTGTTTATAACAACAGGAAGATCTCTTGTTCCATAACCTGATGGCTTGCAATATTATAAGTTTACTTTAAGTCTTGAAATAGGACAGAAGAGATCTTGACATCAAAAGCCACAGGAAGAGTTTAGCATGCATGCCACTGATCTCAATTTCTCTCTCTCACACACACACACACACAGTGAGGCAGTGCTACGGAGATGGTTAAACGTGTGTATATAAACATATATACAGTGCTTCTGTGTCAGGTCCCGTCCTACTTTGTGTCAAGAACAACTGTCTGGAAAGCCAAAAGACAGGTGAAGTGCAGTCCTCCCTCAGGTGGTGTAGCGGTCTGTGTGGGGTCACTCGCAGCAGACCAGGCGGATGGGGTGGCTGGAGAGGGGAAGATTGGAGCATTCGGCTACAGCTCGTCTGGCTGCTTTCTCACTGGGGAAGGTCACCAGCGCCTCCCCACTACGCTGACCACTCCAGTTATACAGCATGAGCACAGAGTCCGCCTGGAGCTACACCAAAAAGAAAAAAGGAGAATGTAAGCTTTTTTTTTTTTTTACAGATTTTTTTTTATTATAAATATAATATAAAATAATAAAATAAAAATAAATAAATAAATAAAAAATCAACACTGGCATGTAAAATAAAATGCAATAAAATAAAAAAAAATAAAAAATAAAATAAGATCAAATAAAAAAAATAAAAAATAAAAAAATAAAATTCACCACTGGCATGTAAAATAAAATACAATAAAATAAAATTCACCACTGGCATGTAAAATAAAATACAATAAAATAAAATTCATCACTGGCATGTAAAATAAAATGCAACAAAATAAAAAATAAAATAAATTTAAAAAAAATCACCACTGGCATGTAAAATTAAATACAACAAAACAAAAAATAAATAAAATAAAATTCACCACTGGCATGTAAAATCTCGTCTGGCTGCTTTCTCACTGGGGAAGGTCACCAGCGCCTCCCCACTACGCTGACCACTCCAGTTATACAGCATGAGCACAGAGTCCGCCTGGAGCTACACCAAAAAGAAAAAAGGAGAATGTAAGCTTTTTTTTTTTTTTACAGATTTTTTTTTATATATTCCAGTGGAAACTAAAATTAAATAAAATTAAAAATAAAATAAAATACATAACATTTAATTAAAATTAAAAAATATAAATTAAATTAAATTAAATAAAATTACACTGCTGGCATGTATTAGGAAAAAGAAAGAAAAAAAAGTAAGCAATGTTTTTTTTATATATTCCAGTGTAAAGTAAAATAAAGTAAAATAAAATTCACCACTGGCATGTATAAATATAATATAAAATAATAAAATAAAAATAAATAAATAAATAAAAAATCAACACTGGCATGTAAAATAAAATGCAATAAAATAAAAAAAAATAAAAAATAAAATAAGATCAAATAAAAAAAATAAAAAATAAAAAAATAAAATTCACCACTGGCATGTAAAATAAAATACAATAAAATAAAATTCACCACTGGCATGTAAAATAAAATACAATAAAATAAAATTCATCACTGGCATGTAAAATAAAATGCAACAAAATAAAAAATAAAATAAATTTAAAAAAAATCACCACTGGCATGTAAAATTAAATACAACAAAACAAAAAATAAATAAAATAAAATTCACCACTGGCATGTAAAATAAAATAAAAATAAAATAAAATCCACTGGCACATAACATAACATAACATTCACCACTGGCATGTATTAGAATAAGGCATGCATACAACACTGAAGTGAATTGCTATGGAGAAACAGGATTTGAGTTTGGATTAATCATCAAATCAGCTGAAAACGAATGGGAGTATATAATTAGAAACCCTTATAGGCAAGAGACTTGCAGTAAGTTAAGAACAATAATGCTACCAGAACAAGACAGTCAAAGCCCAAACCAATTAGTCAGACTGGAGAGAAAGAGCATTATTACAACTGAAAGCTTCTTAAAACAGCAGCACTTGGAACAATAAAGCATACTGGGACTAATTATGCAACAAGCAGAGAGTGAAGATTTACAGAGATACAAAAACAGAAGAGAGTATTACGGGACTCCACTTCTGATTGGAGGTCACCCCAGAGCAGTGGAAGTGAGGGGAGGAGTTAGAGTATTAGTCCATGCACAAGCGATGGGTTCAGGTCACAGGGGCATCATGGGAGCTTACCTGGAGAGGCTGCCCCTACAGACAAAGCCACTCTTTAGGCTGAATGAGACTCCGGCCCTGATCACTCACTCCGAGCAAGCTGCTGTAGTCCTCAGGAGCGTACTACAGCACAATGAGCCACAGTCAGTGCCATAGGCCTCACGTTACACTCACAACAATCAGCACTTCTCTAAACCATGTCCATACATGTACAGGTGACGCTACAGCAGTATGCATTTCTACTAGGGGTGTAAAAAGAAGTGCTTTTTTAAAAAATAAATAAAGTGGATGTAAAATATTTCTTATTTATTTGAAATAGAAATCTTTAGAACAATTTAAGCAATCAGTCTTACTAACATTCAAAAGTTTGGGATATCATGGTTTCCACAAAAATATTAAGCAGCAAAAACTTGAATCATAAAATCAAAGAATCATAATGTAATTAAATCATTGTCAGATCACATATTCACACCCCTATGTCTACTGAATGTCTGAAAATGTAAAAAGTAATAAAATGAAGGAAAGAGTATTGAGCACACTGAAATATTAAGACAATTTCATCAAGTCTTGCAGTTCATTTAAAAGTCTCGTCAAACAGATCTGAAGTGCAGTGCCTTCTCAGAACCTGAGAGGTGACACCAGTCCAAACATTCATTTAAAACAACACGCCACCCCAATACACTGCACAACAGAAATAAGAAGTACGCATCGTACAGGGTTGCACAGAAGATGTTCAAGCATGAATGCACTATAGATATAGAAAGAAAGAGGGGGTCCAGACCACCTGCCAAAAAAGAAATACTTCCCGCACACAGAGGCCCGTAGTGTGCATTTTGTATCAGAGGTTAAAAGCACACTTGGAGGGTGGACTGGGCTCGGATCCATTTCATCGGTTCAGCCAGGAGTCAAGCCTGAACTCTGCATTTCACACACGCGCCACTGTGCTACGCTTTGTGAACAGTGTTAGACGTACAGCTCAGAGTGTCACACGCATTAGAGGAGAGGGCAGGGATGCTGCAAGCCCACCACACAACAGAGAATAAACTAGAATATCTAGGAAATCTCATCCCATGGCTGTGTATTTATATACTGTGAGAGAGAAAGCACACACACACACCCGTGCCCAAAACAAAGCATCACTCATTTCCATCTAACTCAACCCTCTTTCCTCCTCTGAGTGCTGGTGTCATACCATCCTCTGACGTCTCCGCCTAATCAGCTGTCAGCTAATGAGAGGACAAAACGTACACAGTGATTCAGCATAAAACACTACATAGAAACTTTTTAAGATGTGTGCTGTTTATCCAATAGAACCAGGGTCCTGATAAAGTCTCAGGTGAGGGGTGCACTGCTTAGGAAACCCTACTTTTTTTCACTTGTTTTTGAACTTGAGAACCTGAATGAGTGAGTGAGTGAGTAGTGAAATGAGGGGATACCTGATATCCCTGAAAGAAGCTGAGGATGTCTTTGACCCCAGCGTTGTACGGCAGACCCTGCATTCGCACCAGTGCCCCGGGCTGAGGGGGGAGGATAGCAGGGGCCGGCTGGGCGGCCACAGCTGCTGCTACTGAACCCGGCGGGGCCGCAAAATAACTCATCGCGGAGGGAGAGACCGGTGGACTAGACAACAGAGAGACGAGATGAGTTTGAGAGGGGGGAAAAAAAAAGTTTTCCAAAATAGATATTAACAAATTATAGTATAGCATACATTATACATTCTGAATGGAGGAGCTACATTTGAAGCAAGCTGACTGACCACGTTTCAATTAGATTTACGAAGTAAACAACCATTCAAAAGTTTGGGATTTGTAAATCTAAAAATGTTTTTGAAAGAACTCTCATGGTCACCAAAGACTGAATTCGTGGCCGGAGCATTGAATTGCTAAAAAAAAATACAGTAAAAACAGTAATATTGTAAAATATATTACAGTTTAAAATAAATATTTGCTATTTTAATATATTTTAAAAATAATTTTATTCATGTGATGGCAAAGCTGAATTTTCAGCAGCCATTACTCAAGTCTTCAGTGTCACATGATCCTTCAGAAATCATTCTATTATGCTGATTTGGTGCTCAAGAAACATTTATCATCAAATTACCAATATTTTTGTGGAAATTGTGATATTTTCCACAGGATTATTTGATGAACAAAGTTCAAAATAACAGTATTTATTTGAAATAGATTGAAATTCTGACACCTTCAACGGTAGTGTATATTACTTGCTGAAATCATAGTTATTGTGATTATTATTATTACTACTACTGCTAATACACATATACTGAACATTGGTGTTTATCTTTTTTTTAAATGGTAAATGATAAATATGCTAATGTTTAATTCATAAATTGCACAGCAAATTTTACCTCCACTATGTGCCACAGACAACAAAACCATTTAACCAGGTGGAATGTAAAAATTAAATTTAGACCAAGGTAAATCTCTTCTCATTGTACCTGGGGTAGTAGGTGGTGTAGCTCATGTTCATGTTCATGTAAAGCTGTGGAGAGTAGTAGGCTAAAGCAGGTGCAGGGTTATGTGCTGGGGCCTGTGGAGTTCTTGGAGTGGCCAGCAGGGGGGGCTGATACAACGCTGCCTCAGTGGGAAGCATAGCTGGAGTTGCAGGAAATGCAGCATATGTTGGTGGAGAGAGACCTGAGAAAGACATGACAAAGTGCTTTATTAAAAGGAAATTTTCACCAAGTGGGCATGCTAAATCTTTCTCACCCACACACACACAGCTGACCTTGCAGGAGTGTGTGAATGTCATGTATACCTAGCTTAACTGGCACAGGGACAGCTACCGTCTTCTCTGATGTAGTGCGAGCACATACGGCCCATTCTCAAGCCAAGGTCAAACAACCAGATCAAATCACAGAGTAAACAGGCCTTCCTTTAGTGCCGCAACAGGCTTGCTCTTTCTTAAATGCCAAAATGTTGCACCTTTAGATCTGTGACAGAGGTGATCACACCGCTTTCTTGTAGATAAGCTGAAATCTAATCTCAAACAGACCAGCTGATAGGAGCAGAAGAGTGCGGACTGGAACATTAAACACAGATCAGCATCTCTTGAACAGGAACAGATTACAGCTGCTGGCTCACGCTAAATACTAACTCAAATTAACAGTGCAGTTCATCTTATCATGCGGTTTCCAACAAGCATTTGGCATTTAAAAAGCTCCATAAAGTACCAGACAGTCTCTTACAGGGCAGTTTGCAAGGAGGTGGCGAGAGGCCGCTGCGGTTAAGCGTTCCCCCCATCAGCACAAAGCTCATCTCCTCAGTGGAGCACTGGAACACCTCTACGTAACGGTCCTTCATCATCTTCTTGTGGCACTTCTGAGCCACCATAAAAGCATGGTCAGCTGACTTCATTTGAATGAAGGCATCACCAGAGGGTCGACCCTATAAAGATGAACCGAGAAAAGGTGGGTCAAAGGGTCATTCCAGAAACACCTGATGTTTCTCGTTTCATGGAGTTACAAGTCACCTGTTGGTTAAGGACCATGTGCACCCCATGTGGTTTGATATCAATGGTGTGTTCTCCCATAAACTCCAGGATGTCCTCGATGGCGGCGGTGTACGGCAGACCTCTCAGCCTGATGCAGTCTCGCATGCTGCCGGTGGTGATGAAGGGTGGTGTGGCTAACACAGGCACAGATACCATCGGAGGAGGAGGAGGAGGAGGAAGTGTGGAGATCAATGGAGTGGACATGTAGCGATTCAAAACCTAGTTTGAAGATACAAAAGATCAAGAAAATCGCAATAAAATACAAGATGCTGGTTTCATACAAAAGTACACAGAGCTTTTTTGCTCTGATTAACCCACAGAGACCCAAAATAGCAGAACTGCAACGTTTGTGAAAAGCAATTAAATAAAATTAATTTTCACTAAGCGTGGACAAAAACTACACATAACTGTATCTGACTTACTAATATATGTCTCATACGGGTTGTGTTGCTCATTTTTACTAAACAAGCAAGTTTTGGCATCTAATTTTTCTTTTTTTCTTTTATTTCCAGTGTCTAATGATGGGAAAAAGCTTACATGCCATTTTTCTAAGCAAAAATACAACACCGGGCATTAGGGGTCAAAAAAATCTTGGTAATACTTTTTCAAGACCAATTCTCACTATTAACTAGTTGCTTATTAGCATGCATATTACTAGCATATTGGCTGTTTATTAGTACTTATTAGTCACATATTAATGCCTTATTCTGCATGACCATATTTTAGATCCCTTAATCCAATAACCCATACCTAAACTTACCAACTATTAATAAGCAGCAAATGAGGAGTTTGAGGAAAAACTTAGGTAATCGTGAATGTGTTCCCTAATCTAAAGTGTTACCAAAATTATGAGTTATGCATCTCACACAATGGACCCTGAATTTCAAGGAATGGTACAAAAAAAAATATATCTTTTTTTTTTTCAACTGAGCTTTTGTCAGTCTCATTGATATAAAAATACAAATACAACAATACAATACATCAAGGGCTATTCAAATGAATACATCATAGTACTACTATATGCTTTGATATGAATATTTATTACAGTTTTTAACGCAACAAGTAACATAACATTTCATGACTGAATCCTTAATGGATGAAATATATTATTTTTGCAATTTTGCCATATTCCCAGATGAAAATACAAAATAGATTTGAAAAAAAAAAACACACACATCATAAATACCAGTGCTTGGGTCTCTGAGGGTTAAATAAAAATCATCTGTACCTGTTGGACCTCAGCTGCAGTACTGCGGAACAGCTCAATATATCTCTTGCCCAGGATCTGTTTGTGCTTCTTCAGGGCATTCTGGGCATATTCCTCACAGGCAAAGAGAACAAACGCATCGCCTGTGGGACGTCCGTCTGGGTACTTCACAAACAGAAGCCCCTCCGTCCCATCAGTCACTGGGCTGTCCGGTCCCAGGAAGCCCAGAACATCCTGAGGGGTAGCAGTGAACGGAAGCCCACGCATTCGGATTATCACTTGGTTCTCCTTAGAAAGAAACTGAGCTACCTCATTGGACGTGCCTGTCAAAAGATGAGGAATTTTACATTTAAAATGGTGAGTGGTAACAATGTCAGAAAGCCTCTGCTGTGAAACAGTTCAGCAGAAACATCCACACGCACTGAAATGATATCTCGGCAGGCAGCTGTTCTTTTACACCTGCTGTGTGTGAGGCTTTTCAGAGGCTGCTGACCCATCTTCCTCTCTGAGGGAATGGCTCTCTTTCTCTGTGGCCTGGCCAGAGCGGGGGGCAGGAGGGAAGGGGAATAGAGTTTCCCCCTCTACCTGCTCTGCATGAGTCAGCAAGGGGAAGAGACTCACAAAGAGTCTTTCCTTTCCACAGGGGGGGGGGGATGAGGGAAGGACACACACACACCTGGCAATAGCGGATGGAGATTTACTCTACAAATGGAAAGTGTCTGCTCATATTACAAATGAAGACTTCATGTAAATGTCTCACCTCCTGCAATCTTTAGAAATTCCTCCCCAGTCGCTTTATACACCTGAAACAAAATAAATACAGAGTGCCATAATAGTGGGCCGCATGCCTTTGATCGAAACTGTATTTATTATTCACATTGTGTAAATTAGGGATTGGTCAAGATGGTTGATTTGTTAATTACTGATGTTGATTATGATTTTTTTTTTCCAGATTTTAGCTTTAACATTTTAAACGACAATACTTTAATGAAAATAAAGTCAGAGATGCAGCTTCTTTAGTAAGCTGTGCTTTAGCATGCTGTTAGACTGTCAAAGTAAACTCTCCGAAAAGTGGTGTCTCTAAATCCATCATCAGACAACTCAAATACTAGTAGGTTATATGTAGTTTCTCACAAGCCTAGTATACATTTAATATTTCCAACATATAAGAATCAGAACTGTCTCAGATTAAAAGCGAGTATTCTTGCATAATGCATTTTTGAGAGATTTCAGAGTAAAATAAAGCATGGTTTGGATGCCTTAAAGGGGTCATATGATGCTGCTAAAAAGAACATTATTTTGTGTATTTGGTGTAATGAAATGTGTTTATGCGGTTTAAGGTTCAAAAAACATTATTTTCCACATACTGTACATTATTGTTTCTCCTCTATGCCCCGCCTTTCTGGCGGCGGCAAAAATACTACAGCGAGAATAAAAGTTATGCCTTCTTTCTTTGCGTGAACATTTGGGCGACGTTATGCAAATCTTCCCACATCGTGACGTAGACATGTGGGGGCGTGTTAGAACGAGCCGTTTTAGGTAGGCGTGGTTGACTCTTAAATTTTATAAAGAATATCTCTTGAGACTTTAGTCTTTGAGACTTTAGTCTTTGCAACTTTACAGATCTTCTTTATGCACCAAGAGCTTCTAACACTTCAAAGAGAAAGGAAAAATTGAAATCACATCATATGACTTTATGGTGGTGAACTCACTTCAATGTATCTGTTGCCCATGTGGTGTTTATGTCGATCCAGTGCCATGTCTCTGTGCTCAGAGTTTATGAAGCGCACCAGAGCTTCTCCATTCCTCCGGCCCTGAGCATTTAAACACAGCGCAACGCCACCTCTGATATAAAGACACACACACACAAATCAAACAAAGGCAGAGATACAACACATTTAGCATGCAACCTTTAAAATGTGCTCGTTATGATAAATCAGCTTGGACACTCCAAGTAAAGCTACTTCACCAGTGAAAGTCCCGATTTGACATTTGGCTGGATTTGCCTTTAACAGTGCAATGCAAAACTCGGTAAGACCTTAATGTGTACTTAAGGGTCTTTTCTGAGTGCATGCACCATGTCATTGTGAGTGTTGCCTTTCAGTGTTACACTGAGCTGTAATCTCACTTGGCAATGTTGAGGCCCTTGAAGAAGCGAGCGATGTCCTGATCAGACGACTGCCATGGCAACCCACGAGCTCTGATGACCGTCTCAATGTCCACAGCTTCTGTCTTACTGCTGGAAGGCATGCACATGCAGACACACAGGTAACAATCACTCATGCTTAGCAGCATTCTTATGGGCTTTATGCATAGTAAAGACCACAGTCTTATAATGGGAAAACCCACAGATGTTTGCAACAAATAAAAATCAGACTACGACATATGACTGAGTGCATACCATGCTCCGGATTCAAACTTGTAGTTTACAGTCTCAAAAGTGGAGAATTTGTGATCTACAAAGAAAAAAAAGTTTAGTTATTATGAGATCATGTGATCAGTTGCGCATATCAAAAGCGAAACCTGTAAGGTTTTATCAATATATAAACTGCACTGATCAATCCACTATGAGTGACTTACTGTAAGGCTCAACCAGGAGATGTAGAATTAGCAGAACCATGTTCTTCACCTCCCTCAGTCCGGCCTCCTGCTCCACCGCCGCTGGAATACACACATCTGGCAACAATGTCAAGGCCTCATACAGGACATATGCACACATGAATGCACACATTCCTACTAAAACAGCTGAAAATGCTGAACACATGAACCAGTAAATGCAAATTAAAAAAGTGATTATAAACAAGGAAAATAAAACAGGTGGATGACGAGTCCTAAAATAGTGATGTTAGTTTACAAAAAAAACTTGCACAGTAAAACCAAAAGCATAAGCAGGATACAGTCCAGCATGGAGGTCAGAGTGAGATCTTTGACAGGGCCTGCATTTGGGCAGCATTTGTGAAACTCTTTCTTCAAGTCCACAAATGTGTAGAAGCACTCTGGCAGGACTAGATTCTACAACAAAACACGCACAGACAAATGAGGGAGATGCACACTAGAAAATATGTTTTTGGAGGAGCCTGAGGGAAGGGCAAAAAAGAGGGAAAAGGTAGGAAACGGATTGAGGGCACTTTAATGTCCCATGGAGGAGCACAGCATTCCTGTGAAGATTATAACATGTTGCTGCTAAACAGATTATACCACAAACTGACAGCTAATTTAGAAATGTCAGAAGAATCCTTTCCAGTTTAAATAGCCTTAGTTAAAGGTGGATTAAATCAAAATACTTAAGGATAACAATGTATTTGGATTCTGGAAGGAGTGTGTTACCTTTTTGGAGGCCTCAGGGTGCAGCACCTGTCGGATAAGCAGTGGTCCGTCCACACACAGCGTGTAGGAGCTTCTGCCCAGAGACTTCAGTTCAGCTGACACTGACTGATGAAACTAGAGATAGAAATGGAAACAGTGAAAAAGAGAGAAGGAATCCAGAATAACTTTATTTCTAATCAAAAACATCCAGCATTAGATGCAGGTGTAGGCATTCGATTCATTTCCCTACATATCTAGCCCATTCAGAGGTTTGGGGTCAGTGAGATTTTTTATTTATTTTTTTTAATAAAATACTTTTATTCAGCAACGACATGTTACATTTATCAAGAGTGACAGTAAAGACACTTCTAACGTTTCAAAAGATCTCCATTTTAAATTGAATAGAAAGCTCAAAAGAACAGCATTAAAGAAAATGTAAAAAATCAAACCTCAAAAGAGGCATCACGGTTTCTACAAAAAAATAAGCAGCACAAACATTTTCATTGATGAAATGTTTATTGAGCACCAAATCTGCATATTAGTGTGATTTCTGAAAGAAATCATGTGCCACTAAAGACTAATGACTTCTGAAAATTCAGCTTTGCACTTTGCAATTGTAATAAATTACAATTTTCAGTATATTTTTTACTGTATTTTTGTATACTGTATTTTTGCAGCCTTGGTGAGCATAAACTTGTTTAAAACATCTTACCAACACCAAACTTTAGAATGGTAGTATGTTCTAAATTAAATTTTTGTAGGAAATAATGGCTCCAATTTTTGCTACAACAGCTAAAGCAAAAGACCTCACACCAGCCACAGAAACTCAGAAGATACTTACATTGTGAAAGTTTTATTATTGGTTTATTATTTATTAATATTTCTCGTTAATCACACAGATTGAAAAATTTATTAAAATGTATTTTATCAACAACAAAAAAAAACTACAAAGTCAAGGGCAACACAGAGGACACCCAAATTATGTTGTAATATGTGAACATGCTGCTCCGTGTGCATGCGTATGCTTATGCTTGTTTTGTAGATTAAGCAGCTGGTCAGACTGGTTTGATGAAAATACAGGAAGTGAGCCATGGCAGTCATTTCAGATAAAGTATTTCACGTGACCAGAGAGATAGATGACAAAACAAATGAAGAGCGTTTGTCCTGCTCTAAAAACACACCACCTGCTCACTGCCAGCTATAGGGGCTCCCACATTCACCTGTGTTTAGCAAAAACAAGAATTCTTTAATGAACCATTACAGATGTTTAGTAAACTTATCCCTCTCTGCATCAGTCAACAGCAGTACAAGCTAACCACCAACTATGACGCGACAACTGATTTGAGTGCTTCATGTTATTCACATGGGAGTACGAGAAATGCAAAGACGACATGTCTCACAAGTCAACATGAAAAACAATGTTATTAAGGGCTGTTCTTATATTGGAAAAAAAGTGTAGAAACAATTTTTCACTCATAAATTGCTAGCAAATTTCACAAACAACTGCAAAGAAACAGCAATTAACACATTTAATTAAACATGGAATTTTGAATTAGAAACAATGAAACTTTTTTTTATTATTATTAAATGTAGCCCACTACAATAATTTTTATTTTATTTACTTTTTTAAAAATCACTTTTAAAAGTGTATGCACTGAATGAAGCAATGTTTAGTTGTCTGTACTCCCAACTTGCAGTATTAATATACACAATTCAACAATGTGCACTCACAGATGTGTATTTATCAGCTCTGAATGTGATTTGGATCTAACGGTTTTATATTAGTTTTGTGTTTTCCATTTTTAACTCTGGTGTTAACTAATGTAAAACCATTTTTCCTAGATGTAATAATTCGTTATGAATAAACATCTTTTGGGTTGTTTCAATAAGAAACGGAGAAAACAAATAATGTATATTCTAAATAAACATGCATTGACAAATAAAAAATTAAGTTAAATATTTTATTCATTAGATTGCACTAAAAACATGGCTATAAAATATGATACATATGCTACATTTTCAGCAAAAATAACATGATATACAATTTCTCTGATATTAAAATTACACTGTAAAAAATGACCATGAATTTAACGGTAAAAGAATGTAAACATGCTACAGTAAAATCCTGTTAAATGGTTAATGGTAAATTCCCCTACTATATACGGTGAAAAACTGTATTGGACAAAATTTACGGTAGTATACCATTTTTGGAAGTGAAAAAGACCGTATAATTTGTCTACGTCACGATGAGGGAAGATTTGTATAATGCCGCCCAAATGTTCAGGCAAAAAAAGAAGGCGTAACTTTCATTCTTGCTGTTGCCGCCGCTGCCATGTTGTGGAGTCACTGTGTTTCATTGTGAAAGCGAAACTTGGCCTTCCAAAAGAGGAATTAAAATGTATTTTATCAACAACAAAAAAAAACTACAAAGTCAAGGGCAACACAGAGGACACCCAAATTATGTTGTAATATGTGAACATGCTGCTCCGTGTGCATGCGTATGCTTATGCTTGTTTTGTAGATTAAGCAGCTGGTCAGACTGGTTTGATGAAAATACAGGAAGTGAGCCATGGCAGTCATTTCAGATAAAGTATTTCACGTGACCAGAGAGATAGATGACAAAACAAATGAAGAGCGTTTGTCCTGCTCTAAAAACACACCACCTGCTCACTGCCAGCTATAGGGGCTCCCACATTCACCTGTGTTTAGCAAAAACAAGAATTCTTTAATGAACCATTACAGATGTTTAGTAAACTTATCCCTCTCTGCATCAGTCAACAGCAGTACAAGCTAACCACCAACTATGACGCGACAACTGATTTGAGTGCTTCATGTTATTCACATGGGAGTACGAGAAATGCAAAGACGACATGTCTCACAAGTCAACATGAAAAACAATGTTATTAAGGGCTGTTCTTATATTGGAAAAAAAGTGTAGAAACAATTTTTCACTCATAAATTGCTAGCAAATTTCACAAACAACTGCAAAGAAACAGCAATTAACACATTTAATTAAACATGGAATTTTGAATTAGAAACAATGAAACTTTTTTTTATTATTATTAAATGTAGCCCACTACAATAATTTTTATTTTATTTACTTTTTTAAAAATCACTTTTAAAAGTGTATGCACTGAATGAAGCAATGTTTAGTTGTCTGTACTCCCAACTTGCAGTATTAATATACACAATTCAACAATGTGCACTCACAGATGTGTATTTATCAGCTCTGAATGTGATTTGGATCTAACGGTTTTATATTAGTTTTGTGTTTTCCATTTTTAACTCTGGTGTTAACTAATGTAAAACCATTTTTCCTAGATGTAATAATTCGTTATGAATAAACATCTTTTGGGTTGTTTCAATAAGAAACGGAGAAAACAAATAATGTATATTCTAAATAAACATGCATTGACAAATAAAAAATTAAGTTAAATATTTTATTCATTAGATTGCACTAAAAACATGGCTATAAAATATGATACATATGCTACATTTTCAGCAAAAATAACATGATATACAATTTCTCTGATATTAAAATTACACTGTAAAAAATGACCATGAATTTAACGGTAAAAGAATGTAAACATGCTACAGTAAAATCCTGTTAAATGGTTAATGGTAAATTCCCCTACTATATACGGTGAAAAACTGTATTGGACAAAATTTACGGTAGTATACCATTTTTGGAAGTGAAAAAGACCGTATAATTTGTCTACGTCACGATGAGGGAAGATTTGTATAATGCCGCCCAAATGTTCAGGCAAAAAAAGAAGGCGTAACTTTCATTCTTGCTGTTGCCGCCGCTGCCATGTTGTGGAGTCACTGTGTTTCATTGTGAAAGCGAAACTTGGCCTTCCAAAAGAGGACACAACTAGAAATCAGTGGTTAAGTTGTATTTACAACACTGTTCCAGAACAGTTCAACCCAAATATTCAGATGTGTGCAGCACATTTTATGGAGGATTCCTGAACCAGTAGCCTACAATGGGTCTGTGCTCAAAGGCTGTTTCTATAAAGTTGGGCAGTTCCAACTTTGCAAGGACAGTCTGGCACTTCTGAATCACAGCCTGTAAGTACGTTTTATATATTTAAAGAATTTGCCACTAATGATTCAAACGA